TATAAATGGAACTTGGCTACTTTCTCTCAGCACATCTTTTTGGACATACCCTCCAAGTCAGGAGGGCTCCACCAAGGTTTTGCAACACAGACAGTGAGGCGAGACCCAACATACTTACTGATAATAACTAAAACGCTCATGTTTAGAAATTGTTTAGCTTTTAAAAGGAATTAATACAAAGAAGGGTAAGTTTTCTAACACTACCTGTTGGCGTTTAGTTGCAATGACATGTGCCTACCTGTTTGGAAAGATTGGAGTTAAAACCTGTTTATACAGCTCCTGTGAGCAACAGTTACTGACACACCGTAGTTGGGGTGATTGATTTTTTTTTTTTTAGTACTTTGCTCTACCACAACTGTGGAATTCATTCTTTAAAATCTGAACATGGGATAGCGATGTCTTTCCTCCGAACATCACCTGTCATGTGCATCAGGTGGGGAAAGAAGGCTGAGAACTGCTGCCCCATATTATACAGCAAATACCTACTAAGCTAAAATAGTGGAAACAGTGTGTGTGTGTGTGTGTGTGTGTGTTGTTTTCTTTGTGGTGTTTTTTGTTTGTTTTGGAGTTAAAAAATACCTATTATTTATCACAAAACTGTAAATAATCCATGGCACATTACAGAAGTTATTATAACTGATTTCGTCTACAGAGTCCGTCCATGATATGTACTGAACAATTTTGCATTGATGGGATGCTCTAATATTGGTTCAGGAAAATGTTTAGTCACTTCATTATAAAATAAATGAAATTTCTGATTCTCTAACAAAGATTATGTTTGTTTATCAACAAGTAAATTATTTTCTGGTCCTCTATTAATTCCTTATTTTAATAACATGTTCTTTTCATGTTTCTTTTGCCTTTGGGGGGAAAAATCTAACCTTTTGTAGAAGAATGAATGATTCATTTGTTTAGAGTTTATGTCTTAAAAAAATTATAGCCCCAAATCAATGCTTATATTAAAGAGAAATATTTAAATAGCAAAATATTACTTTAAGCCAATTCATGAACTTTGGAAAGATATCCACTAAAATCAATGCAAAAATGTATTATCAGTCAGTTAAGTAGTGTTAAAATCAATATAGGCAACAAGTGGAAGAGAAAGATGTGGGCCGTCATTAATAGCAACTAAAATAGTTTTGCTTTTCTTCAGGCTTGAGTTAGTTTCTTTTTTTGTTTTTTTACATTAATAGACTTTATTTTTTACAGTAGTTTTTAAGCTTGCAGAAAAATTAAGCAGAAAGTACAGAGAGTTCCATATATCGCCCCTGCCCAATCTCCCCTATTATTCACATCTTCACTAGTGTGTTACATTTGTCACAATTTATGAACAAAAACCATACATTATTATTAACTAAAGTCCATAGTTTACATTACCATTCACTCTGTGTTGTACAGTTCTGTAGCTTTCAACAAATGCATGATGTCATATATCCACAACTACAGTCTAGAACAGTATACTACAGGCTGGTTTCACTGCACTAAAAATCCCCTGATCTCCATCTATTCATTATTCCCCCACTGTCCCTCTAGAACTTCTGGCAACCACTGATCTTTTTACTGTCTCCATAGTTTTGCTTCTTCCAGAATGTTATGTAGTGGGAATCACTCAGTGTGTAGGCTTTTCAAACTGGCTTCTAACAACATACATTCTAACAACATACATTCTTCCATGTCTTTTCATGACTTGATGGCTCATTTCTTTTTATTACTGAATAGTATTCCACTGTATGGAGGTACTACAATTTATCCATTCACCTATTGAAGGACACCCTGGTTGCTTCCATGTTTTGGCAATTATGAATAAACATTCATGTGTAGGTTTCCCTGTGGACATGAGTTCAAATCCTTTGGGTAAACACCTAGGAGTACAATTGCTGGGTCTACGGTAAGAGTATGTGTAGTTTTGAAAGAAACTTCCAACCTATCTTCCAAAGTGGCTGTACCATTTTGTGTTCCCACTGGCAATGAGTGAGAGTTCCCGTTGCTCCACATTCCTGTCAGCATTGTCAGTATTTTGGACTTTAGCCATTCTAATAAGTGAGTAGTGCTATGTCATTATTTTAATTTGCAATTCCCTAATGATAAGTGATGTTGAGTGTCTTTTAATATGCGTGCTTATTTGCCATCTGATCATCTTCTTTGATGAGGTGTTTATTCACTTTTTTCACCTAGTTATTAATTTGGCTATTTGTTTTCTTAATGTTGATTTTTAAGTGTTCTTTGTTACTCTGGATACAAGTCCTTTATCATATATGTGTTTCAGAATATTTTCTCCCAGTCTGTGGGAGACATTGTTTTAAGAAATTTTACAGGGAATAATATAGTTTCACTTTTCTTCAGGTTTGAGATAGCTTTATTTTTTCATTATTAGATCACTTGCTAGAACAATTCAAAGTACAACTTTGTCCAGACTTTTTCATTTATCTAATTTCTGAAAACTTAAGTGTAAGTCAGACTTTCAACAGTACATAATGTATATTGGATTTTGTAAAATTTTTTTTTTTTTTAATTTTTTTTTCAACATTTATTTTTGGGACAGAGAGAGACAGAGCATGAACGGGGGAGGGGCAGAGAGAGAGGGAGACACAGAATCGGAAACAGGCTCCAGGCTCTGAGCCATCAGCCCAGAGCCCGACGCGGGGCTCGAACTCACGGACCGCGAGATCGTGACCTGGCTGAAGTCGGACGCTTAACCGACTGCGCCACCCAGGCGCCCCGGATTTTGTAAAATTTTTAATGATATATGTGGATAAAATATTTACATATTGCCTGAATCCCTTTAACATTATTTCAAAACCTCCAAAAGAAACAATAAAAGCCACAACATCAGGTAATTAAATTTTCTGTAATACAAAAGAAAGCCCTATAGCATCTTTTAAAGTATAAAAGCATGATGAATTTCAGACTTCTTGAAGGCACTGTTTTTTTTATAAGAGGAGAAAGAGTTTTCTTCATTGTTTATTGACCTTTAATACCAGAATTTGAAGTATGTCATTATCCTTCAAATTAGCCTAAGAAATGATTAATGAGGGTAAGACACACCCAGTAGAATAGCTGAACATTCTAGCTGATGTCTCAGTCAATCTTATCAGGTTTCAGATGAAAAAATAAAAATCTAGGAAATAAAATAATTGATCCATGGTGACTTAGCTTGTTAATGGAAAAGCTGGGACCATACATCTCATTTTAAAGTTTCAGTTCACTTTAACTTGAAAGTTAACTTGATAGTTCCACTCTCCAAATTGTCTACTGTACCCTTTTCCTCCAATACAGATAAAAAATGAATTTACTGACTTAATTGTGCAAAAGGTCCCACACAGAAAGTATGAGTAAGGCTATAGTTTGGGTTACACAAAGAGGCTGGAATTAACTCATTATTTATAAGGAACAATAAGAAAATATTTTTTATTGATAGATAATAGTACTTTATGAGTTCAAATATTTTAACATATTTTATTTAGCCTAGAATAATTTTAGAATTTATGAACATTAGGTATTTGTGGTAACAGGACTGATAACATATACCATACACTCTGAATGTATACCATGGAAAACTTGAACACAGATTCTTTGGTCTAAAAAGTAGTCAATGAACTAAAAATGTCTGCCCCAACAAAATATTGAGAACAATTTCTAGAATATGGACATATTTTGATGTTGAAAATTATTCTGACCAGAAAAACTCCCTACCGTAGTTAGAAATAAAATGTGTATTTCCTGGTCCTGCTATCATGAATAAGATAGCCACGTAAGATAGGAAATATACAACAAACACCAGAAAAAAACCCTTCTTTATATTTTGAGATAGCATACCATTTTTTTAAAGTTTATTTATTTTGAGAGAGAGAGAGAGAGAGAGAACATGAGTGGGGAGGGGCAGAGAGAGAGGAAGAGAGAGAATCCCAAGCAGGCTCCGGGCTGTCAGTGCAGAGCCCAATGTAGGGCTCAATCCCACAAACCATGAGATCATGACCTGAGATGAAATCAAGAGTTGGATGCTTAACTGACTGAGACACTCAGGTGCTCTAGTAATATGTTATCTTTAAGAAAGTTTGTTTAACTCTTTCCTATGTTAGTAATCCAGAACTTTCCCCCCACGTAATTGTAAATTCCCTAAGAGCCATAACATTATCTTTGATCCCTTAGGCCTATGACACTTTAGCTATCTAATAAATAATTCCTGAGTGATTGAAAGAAAATCATTAAATAATACTGAAAATTACAAACAACAACATGTCAAATGTTCTCCAGTTTATCATTTGTAGGTACAATATCATTCTTTTATCAGATTTCCCCCCCTTATTTTTAGGTTTTACCATCCTCTCAGAAGATGATACAAATTTAAGGTGGTTTTCTAGGGGTACCTGGGTGGCTCAGTTGGTTAAGCATTGGACTCTTGATCTCAGGGTTGTGAGTTCAAGCTCAGCATTGAGCTCTGTGCTGAAGGTGAAGCCTACTTAAAAAACAAACAAACAAACTGGTTTTCTTAAAGTATAATATTAAAGGTCTTCATATGTATATTATATCATAATATGAAAGGTGTATTCATGTAAAGCACATTTGTGTGTATTGTATTTTAAAGCTATCATTTTCATTTACTATATCAAAATTGATAACCTGTTATTTTTATGTTGGTAAGCTAACAAAGTGACCTTAAATGTAATTAAATATAGAATGTATTTTAAGCTTCTCACAAATGTTTTGAGTTTTCCAGGGAAAAATTCTTTGCTTCCACCCATACCCGAATTCATTTCAATGTGTATAAAAATTTAATCTGAAAGTATAATAGCCTCACGTTGCTTTGACAAGGGAAACAACTCAGCAGTGCAAGCAATGAAGAAATATTTGATGTGTAAGAAATGTCAAGAGCCCCTCATCAGAATGATTGTCATTTTATGATTTCAGGGTCAGAGCACCTCTGGAAGTGAGGTTACCAGGTAGAACCCCAAGACATTTTGTGGCAACAGTGGAGAGGGGCAAACCAACATCCGGAGAACATGAGCCTCAAGTCCCCAATGTCTGCTCCTCAGTTTGAGAGCAAATGCAGCCATATTATGGCTAGAAATGGAGGTTGTTTTCTAGTCCGGCACACCCCTCATCCCAGAAGGGTGTGCCACATCAAAGGTAAGGTGACTCAAGGTCCTAGAATGTTTCCCTTTCTCAACATTTGGGCTACTTGATGATTCTGGTGGGTAAGCACAGGGATACTGTTCAAAATATGTAACCAATAGAGAGGCCCAGGTTTTGAACATTAAGACCAGATGCCAGCATTGGAGTTAGAGCAGAGGCTTACAGGCATCCTCTGTGCCAGGCATTAACCCTTGGTTGGGAAAGGGACTATAAATTTGGTCCCTTCTTGAACTTCCTTCCTCTCCTCTTGCAATACTTCCCTTGATCTCATCACTTTTTTTTTCTAAATATTTTGCAAATTAAGCTACTTCTCCCCATGGCCATGGTTGCAGCTCCATTCTAGGCCATTCTTATCCCTTGGTCTGACTACTACTTTTGCAATTTGTAGCCTTCTAACTGCTCTACTTCCACCCCTGCCCTCATCCAATCCACTCTCCATAGAACAACAAGAAAGATCATATTAAAATGTAAATTTAACTGCTCAAATATCCTACTCAAAATCCTTCAGAGACTTCACATGCACTTAAGATAATGACTATCTTGACATAGACTAAAATGTTTCCTATGATGTATGTGGCCTCTGCCTCTTTTGACTCATTTCCTATCAATACCTACCCACCCGTCTTCACTGTACATAAACCACACTGGACTTGCGTAAGTTCCTTGAACACGTAATAAGACTTTTCCAACCTCTGGATTTTCACTCATACTATTTCCTCTTGCCAAAAACTCCATTATTACTTGCTGTTTCTCATTTTTCAAGTTTCTTGAAATGTAACTTAAAAGAGACATTCTGGGCTCCATATCCTCAATCTAAATTAAATTTCCTTATGTTATATTCTCATAGTATTCTATCACAGCAATTGTCTTAAGTCAGGTTCTCTGGAAATAGACTGTAGTATGGAGAACTGTTTGAAGGAGATTTACTGGGGCTGCTCTCAGGAACAACATGTATAGGAGTCAAGGGAAGCAGGATTTAGCAGAACTTGAGCTGTGATACAGATACAGTAGAGGCCTCAGTCAGCCCCATAAGGAGCCATGGATGGCTTTGTAGAGGTATCTCAACTTGAGAAAAGGGGGTAAGGCCTTTGTAACCCCCACCAAACACTCATTGGTCAAGTTCCCATCATGCATGAGAACTATCTTCAGCTGGAAGCAATTCCCAGAGAGGGACTCAGCATGAGCCATCAGTAGCTGACACATCTGTCAGGTAGACAGATGAGTGTGAGCATCCTGAAAGCATGGTTTTGGGTAGATGCACCTGCACAGTCATTGCAGTTTGTGACGAAATATTTTTATTTGATTATGATCAAATACCTTCTGCTAATTTGTGAGCTCCTTGAAAACAGAAGACATATCTGTTTTACTCACCACTTATTTCAATTTCCCAAAGACTGGCTGCCACATGGGAGGTGCTAGGTAAATTTTTGTGTAAGGAAAGAAGGGAGCTTAAATTATACCCAGGTAAAATTTAGAGCCTCTCATAGATTTTTAAACAGAGTTCATGTTCTACCTCAGCTATCTAGTTGTGTGTCCTTGAGCAAGTGATTTCATTCTTTAAAAAATCATTCTAGCTGTATTATAGAAAGTGGAAGAGGAGCAGGGGCCTAACGAGGGGTTGGGAGATAAGTTAAAAGATGGACTTAGTCATCTAAGTGAAAGGGATAGAGAATGGGCCAGGGCAGAGTAAGCAGAGAAGTGAAGGCTGAACTTTGAGGCAGAGCAAGAGGAAAAGCTTAGGTGAGCAGCACAGAGGAAAAAAAACAAAAAAACAAAAAAACATCAGAAGGTTATGAGATAAACCAAGATTCAATGAGAATGGCTGGGGATGATCATCAAAGACAAATTCCTAGAGAAGATCAGGAAAATGAAAGCCAAGAGAAAGCAAACACATATTACAATAGAAGTCATAGATGACCTCGAAATCTATTGTTGTGGCAAAATCTGATGACAGAGTTTTTCAAAATCCACATGAGAAAACCATTGCATTTAATTGGAACTTTTTTTTTCTATGAAGGCAAATACTACCAAATTGAGTGTAATATTTTTTCTGACTTTCAGATACTTGATATATAATATATAATTCTTGTATATGTTATTTCACATTCTGCCTTGAATATCTTATACCTATCATTACAGCATAATACTGTTGGCAGGCAAGGGATGGAGTTTTATGCCTTCAAACACCCTACAATGCCTACCACAAAGCCTTGCTGATAGTAATACATGTTCACATATAAATATATGTTCAATTGAATACAAAATTTTCTTGGAAATCTTTCAAGGATATCCATGCAAATTCTAGAAAGCCTAGTAACTGGAGTTGGATGAGAAAGAGAAGAGCAGCAAACTGCTTTGTTTTGGCCATTAACAGCCAGTGCTTTGAGCCCATACTGAGTAAAAGGACACTACAACTAGTTTCACTAGTTTTACACCAAAGATAATTCTTATAGTCCATTTTACCAATATTCAAATGTTCTAGTCTGTTGAGATCTAATGTTATTATCAGTGATAAATCTTTTAAAAATTAAATCATCAGTAAGTTTGTTCAGGGACGCCTGGGTGGCTCAGTCGGTTGAGCGACCGACTTTGGCTCAGGTCATGATCTCACGGTTTGTGAGTTTGAGCCCCGCGTCGGGCTCTGTGCTGACAGCTTAGAGCCTGGAGCCTGCTTCAGATTCTGTGTCTCCCTTTCTCTCTGTCCCTCCCCCACTCATGCTCTCTCTCTCTCTGTCTCAGAAATAAGTAAACATTAAAAAAAAAATTTTTTTTTTAAAGTTTGTTCAGTCTAAGAAATGTCAGGTTAGAGTCTCTATTTGTGATACATATAGGCACTCTGCTAACAACAAAACACAAGCCAGTTTCTGCTCACAGTGTAGTTTGGAGGAGATATAAATAGAAGGAAATAATTATAATACAGTGTTATGTGCAATAATAGAAGTATGGTGAAAGTTGAGGTGTAATACAGAGATAGGAAAATTGCTGGAGGAGTATCAAGAATGCATTTCACAGAGATTTGATTGAGAGATACATATGATAAACATTAAGGAGCAACAATTAGCAGGAGTTGGACCTTTATTGGATTTGGGAATGGAATAACAAGTCTAGAATTACTACCAGTTTTTTTAGCTTGGTTGATTGGGTAAGGATAGTGGACCAACTATTAGTCTTGAGCATATGGGAGGAAGAACATATATAGGAGGTAAGATTAAAAGCTTCATATCAAACATGTTGTACTCGATGTGTCAATGGAACATTCAGGAGCAAATGACCAAGTAGAGAAACGGATATAAGGACTTGGAGCCTAAGGACTGGATGAGTCTATAAAGTAGATTTGAAAAGCAGGAACATCTAGGTTAAAACTATAATGTTATTGCTCAAGAAAGCAAAGAAATGCCAAAAAACCCTGAAAAACACAGGGATGTATAAACACAGAAAATCCAGAGAAAGAGACTGAAAAGAAAGGGCAGAGATGCTGGGTTGAAAAATGTTGTCTCTGAAAATGGAAAGAAGTGATTTTAAAGAAAGAGGGAACAGTAAATGGGGTCATCCATAGAAAGGTAAATGCATGTAAGAGACGAAAATTTTTCAGTTAATTTACAAACTAGTGATCTCTACAACCTCTTCTATCACATAGAATAGAGAAAGTTTGAATTTATAGACCTGAGGATATTAAAATCTTACATTTGCTTGGCAGAGGTTTTTGAGCTGTGTTCTGGAGTCTTAGAAACCTGGGCAGGAGACAAACATGGAGTAAAATGTGCTTGAACAAAGGACACAACAGCCAAAGAAATTTGAGTGTCACTACTGCATAGAAAAAAAGCATTATATTTAGTCATGGGATTAAATGAGACTTTTCTTGTTTCCAGAACTTTGGCTAAAGCCAAATTTCAAGATCCTTTGTGCATGACTTGCTAAGAGGTGATTTGAAAACTGGCTCTACCATGGTAGCCTATCTCCAGGCTCTTTTGCTTTAGAGAAGAGTAAAAGTTCATGAAAAGGAAAGAGAGTGAGGATTTCTTTGACAAGAGTCTTTGGGGTGCTGTGTACTCCCCCTCCCCTCCATGAGGAACAGTAGTAGCTGCCTTCACCGGTACCTTCAGGGCTTTCCAGGGGACCATTTATGGAGAACGGAGGGTCTAGAGAGGAGACTGAGATCTCACTGGCTAGCAAGATCCTTGCCTGTGCTGTTCCTGGTCTGCCCTGTACTGTTTCTGCAGTGGAATATGGGGAGACTATTCTTGGGGTGAACTTGTTCTGTATCTTCTATGCTATGGAAGACAGAGAATGGTGCCTGATTCTCTTCTAAAATCTAAAGACAAGAGCCAACTGGAGCTGCCTGAAGCTAGCTATGTCAGTGGCACAAAGACTGGGATTAAGTTGCTCTCCCACAGAAGACTAGGCAAAGGGCCTTGTTTCCTGTGGGCTAGAGTGGACACTCAGGAGGAAGCTGGTCAAAAACTGTCTTACAGGTACCCAGCCCAAGAGGACTAACCACTATAATAGGACAACTCCAGCCAAAAGAGGCTGGTGACATTTTGCCTGGTGTGAAGGTGGGAAGGAAGAGATGTTAATAATTTTCTGGTAGGTACATTATCCATGACTGAACAGTATCAGAGATTTCCTCAACCAAGGGTCTCCAAAGAACCCACAAAAATGCCTCATGAGAGAAAGAGCCAGCATTTCTTCTCTGTCTCACAGATCCACTTTCATAGATGCCTCAACACTAAATTAAAATCATTCGGCAAGTAAGACTTTGTGTCCCTTTAACCATTCCTTCATCTTCCACCCCAACTCCAGAGGAGCTTGAAGCAGTGAGTGGGGAAGGGAGAGTGGAAGAGCAACGTGGAGGAAAAACAGACCACACCCCCACTCCCCTGCTGGTCTGTGGAGGTTGGGTCATCCTTGGCCTGGAGAGGAGGGTGTGAAATGAAATGGAATACTAATACTTTTACAACACCAGCTATGCTGATAGTAAATATTTTTGGCATCTTTGATGGAAAGTTTTGTACACGATAAAGATTATTGCAGTTACTTGTTATTTTTAAATCAAATTTTAAAATAACAATTCTAAACCTTTTTGTTTTAACATTTAAAATTTAACTTAACCCAATATTAGAGCACACTCATCAACTAAGGAAACAATTACCTTGGACAAAAAGATAAAATGAGAGTATGTTCTCATTAAACTGGGGCTGCATATTAGAAAATTAGATAGGAATGTGATATTTGAATCTTCTGGTGACACTCTCCCACAAGGTGAGTCCCTCATAATTACAAAGGTAACAGAAATTTGATGCCCTATAGGGGGAGCTGGTCACTCGTAGGCCCAAAACTCCATAACCTAATTCTCCTGTATATTCAAAGCAGTTAATGAAACTCCCACCAATGTTGTCCTAATCTTCTTCACTGCTGGGTTGAGTTTTACATTTCCCTGACTAGCTTTAAATCATTTAATATTGTCCCATTTGACTCTGAAACCACTTTAGTGCCCTTCCACTTTTTACATTTCTGGGTAGTTCTTTCCCAACTGTTGGATAGATAGAATCTGAATTCTTTCATATTATGTATCACCATTTTTTAATCAAAGGAGATAGCAGAGAAAATAAGGATTTTACCCTTGATTTGTCTTCATGTTAATCTTTTATTTATTTCATTTGGTAGGCAGTTTTTCACCATACACCTGGGCCAATCACTATCTCAGGTGTTTAAGATAAAATGGTAAGATGTGATGCTATCTTTAAAAATGTTATTCTCATTTCTATATGGAACCAGTTACTATCAGTAAAGTTCTAAGTATCAGACTAAATAAAAGCTTTATATTTGGCTGTGTTATTCATTCATTTGATAAATAATCATAGAGCACCTACTTTGTGCCAGGCACTATTATAGACACTGGGAATAGAGTAGCAAACCAAACACACAAAATCCATGCTTTCATGAAGCTTACACTCTAGGACAGCTCAGCCCAGCAATGTGCAAACAGATATGACAAGGGACAAATGCTATGAGAAAAATAAAAAGGCATAACGGAACAGAGTGTGAAGGGGTGCATTTCAGACAGGGGTTTCAGCAAAGACCTTTATGATGTCATTTGAGCAGATAGATAAGAAGGGGGGACTGATAGTACTAGAAGGAAATTTAGAAGAAAATGGGCACAAAAACCAAAAAAAAACCCAAAAAACAAAAAACACTATCCAGAAGCTTCTTGTGCAACTTCTTGGAAACAAGACAGCCGCCTATTACTATCTCTCATAATTCACGGATTAACATCGAGCAATGTCCTGTACACCCTCATTTCCTAAACTGTCCGACACGTCATGACATAGTGTTTACACGGAAAAGAAGATATGTCTATAATTCGATATATGACCCAGAAGCAAATAGCTGTTACAGGAGAGTGAAGGAGCCTAGAAGCCTTGGACATGAGGAAGGAGTTTGCTTTGCACTGCTTTTTCCTTCCTTACCTCGCTCATAATCCACCTCCTCCTGCCTCCTGTTCCTAGCTTATACAGCTGTCTATATCTTTTGCTAGTACGAAAAAAGAGCCAGTGTATGTCTTTTAGGAGGCCTTATTATATTGAGACATTTTGGATGCTTTCAAACGTCTGAATGTACTGTTCATGAAAAGGGTTAACATAATCCTGCTTGGTCATTATCAAAACTTGGGAAATGAGGCGTCTGTCTGGGATAGAGGCAGATCTATTCCACTTGACTCTCCGACCAAGATCAAAGATGTGAGCCTGGTTCTCAAGGCTAACAAGATGGCAGAACATTTCAAGGAAGCATGTATTGCTAACATAATTTGCTACACTGACTTTCATTTTTTTTTTTAATATATGAAATTTATTGTCAAATTGGTTTCCATACAACACCCAGTGCTCATCCCAAAAGGTGCCCTCCTCAATACCCATCACCCACCCTCCCCTCACTCCCACCCCCCATCAACCCTCAGTTTGTTCTCAGTTTTTAAGAGTCTCTTATGCTTTGGCTCTCTCCCACTCTAACCTCTCTTTTTTTTTTTTTCTTCCCCTCCCCCATGGGTTTCTGTTAAGTTTCTCAGGATCCACATAAGAGTGAAAACATATGGTATCTGTCTTTCTCTGTATGGCTTATTTCACTTAGCATCACACTCTCCAGTTCCATCCACGTTGCTACAAAAGGCCATATTTCATTTTTTCTCATTGCCACGTAGTATTCCATTGTGTATATAAACCACAATTTCTTGATCCATTCATAAGTTGATGGACATTTAGGCTCTTTCCATAATTTGGCTATTGTTGAGAGTGCTGCTATAAACATTGGGGTACAAGTGCCCCTATGCATCAGTACTCCTGTATCCCTGCTACACTGACTTTCAAAGAATATCCACCTAGCATTCATTCATACAATTTGGAGTCTGACATCTTATATACACTTAACAATATCAAATTGGGAAATTGCTGATCATTCAGAGAAAACCTGCCAAACACCTAATCTGTTTTTTTTTTTTTTTTTTGGTCTTTTTATCCTTACTCAACTAGGTTTGAATAACATTCCCATCTGTACTGTGAATGATGATGAGAACTCACTGGGAACATTGTGGGGTGTTGGCCAGTTCAACCACTTAGAGAAGGATGAGACACCATTTGCCAAATGCGGTTACCCACCCAGCACTGCGAACCTGGAGAGTCCTGTCAGAGAAGTCACACCGGCTCCAAACCATATCAAAATGCCCCCTCGGCCTCATTCTGGTGAGTCCCTTGCGACTAATGAAATCTTTCCTGAGGTCTCCTGCAAACAACCAGAGGTGGTAGGGGGGATAGTCTGTATGATTGCTAATATAACTGCAGCAATTTTAAAATATAGCAGCTAACATAGCTGCAGTGATTTCTCACTGTGAAACAGGTTATTCATTATAAAATTTTTTTATCCTTTTAATCTCATTTCAGTAGCCCAAGACATATTTGGTGTGGTTCTAGTCTCTAATTCCAACAAAAGTAGCTTAAGAGATACTGAAAATGAATGTTTACCCAACATGATAGGGAACCTACTGCAGACAAAAAGTGAGTCAGGGAAATGCAGTAGGGATGGAATTACATGTTTACATTTCTCCCTGCTGGATGGCCAGCTCCTGAAGGTCAGGGCCCAGGGTTATTCCCTTCTGTGTTTCTGGTATCCTTGGTATCTCCCCAGGTCCCAGTACAGTGTTTGATCTTCTGTAAAAAAATTTTTAATTAATTAAATAATGTTTATTGAATTGAAATGAAAAGGGATTAATCAACAGAACACCATGACCATGATGACTATAGTTCACAATACTGTCTTGTGTATTTGGAAGTTATGAAAGTAGATTTAAAATTTTTCAGCACAAGAAAAATATTGATAATTTTGCAAGGTAATAGTTAACTACACTTAACTGTGGTGATCATTTTGCAATATATACATATATCAAATCACGGTGTTGTACATCCTGCACTATCATATTTTAAAAAGCACAGCATGGCAAAATCTAAAGGGCTAGCTAAAATAGAAGGAACTCTGGGTATTGGAAATTGCTTCCAATTCTCCTTCTCTTGTCCTGTACAGTTACCTGCCATTATTAAAAGTTTCAGGGCACCTGAGATTGTTTTGGTATAGTGTGGTAAAATAGTATTGTCTTTCAAAAAGCGACAATAAGAGGCATCATTAGTAGAGTACTTCCTATGTGATTCCATTCTAAGGTCTTCACGCTTGCTAACTCATTTCATCCTTTCAAAGAGTTCCTCTTCCTTCCTTTCCACTAGCAGTAGAGAATAAAGCCCACACATTCCACCTACTGTTGGGTGTTCCTTCCTATACCATGAAACCCAGAAACTTAACAGTTAGGTTTGCAAGAGCCCCCTAATGGGAGTTGTGTTGCCACCTGATCAGATGTATATTTCAGATGTGGGGCTAAGGTCATAGTTTTGGGTGCTGTCTGCTCTCAAGCATGACTGGAGACATGGGGTTTTCCTGCTACAATATCCCAGTGTTCAGATTCTGGATTTATGGGTGTCAGCAGATACGGTGGCTTTCAGATTGCAGCATGTTCCAGTGCCTCATCTTTAGCCTCAGTGATGTGACAGCAACTCAAGTGTCAGTGGCATCCTGACTCCCCTCTCCTCCCCCGCCCCCCCCATAAAGGCTGTGCCCCCTGGCGGGCCAGGTAGAAGACGTTCTTGAAGTGATTTGTGAGGGTCAACGCCAGAGTTCACTGCTCCAGCCCTTCCAGTGATGTTGCAAATACGGCATTCCCTGTCTTATTTACATTTTTGCTTAAAATAGAGTGGTTTCTGTTTCCCCAAGTGAGCACTACCTTAATAGACCACCACCCATAACTTTGTTCTTCCTACTTCCTGTTCTCTTCTGGAGAGGTAACTTTACAATGGTTTTCTCTCTTCAGCTAGAACTAATGAATTCAGTTACTGTTGGGAATATGCACAAAATCTTTGCATCTTTTAGGAAATTGTTTCTGTTGACTATGGCTTCAGTAAAAACGATAGCATTATTTACAGAGAATATAGCTTTATTTAAATTAATGCAAAATGAAATTAAGCAAGTATTTAAATGGTTTAAAGTGATTTAGTTGGATGATGCTATGAAATGTGTAAGGTTGAGCGACTGATGAAATAAGAAATATAATTAAAAATGTAATTATAGCTCAATACACATCCTCTGCTTGTGGCCACAGGGCAAACAGCGCACCTATAATCTCTTTAATTAGGAAAAGTGACAGCTATATGGACAGGAATCAGAGAAAAACATGTTTTGTATGAAATGTGCACTTTTAAAAATTAGTTTACCCAGATCAAGAAAATTCTTCTAGTCTTTCTTTATATCATCTTCCTGGGCATTGAATTACGTTTGTAAATATCAATATGCTTTAAAAAAAATTTTTTAGGGGCGCCTGGGTGGCGCAGTCGGTTAAGCGTCCGACTTCAGCCAGGTCACGATCTTCCGGTCCGTGAATTCGAGCCCCGCGTCGGGCTCTGGGCTGATGGCTCAGAGCCTGGAGCCTGTTTCCGATTCTGTGTCTCCCTCTCTCTCTGACCCTCCCTCGTTCATGCTCTGTCTCTCTCTATCCCAAAAATAAATAAACGTTGAAAAAAAATTAAAAAAAAAATTTTTTTTTATTAGTTTTTTTTTTTTTTTATTTTTGACAGGCAGAGAGAGACAGAGCGCATATGGGGAAGGGGCAGAGAGAGAGGGAGACACAGAATCCAAAGCAGGCTTCAGGTTCTGAGCTGTCATCACAGAGCCTGATGTGGGGCCTGAACTCACGAACCGTGAGATCATGATCTGAGCCGAAGTCGGACACTCAACCGACTGAGCCATCCAGGCGCCCCTTAATATGCTTTTATTATGTTATTCTGGTATAACTCTACCTGCAAGTTTTTCAACAGATCCCTGAGTTGACTTTAAATTAAAATCCAGATATACTCTCATTTATTTCAGCAACTGATGTATATGTTATGTGGTAGAATTTTTTTCTGTTTGATCTAAATATATATTTCTGCGTCATCATTTCAGAGCCCTGCAGAAAAATCAGAGAGTGCTTCAAAACTTCCAGTGAGAATCCCTTAGCAATTAAAAAGGTAAAGAAACAACTATTTACAGTTACCTATTTAATTTGACTTCTGTCATTTCCTCTCCTCTTCACATAACTTTCTGAAAAGGCACATTTCATAGTATCTTTAAGCTTTATTTAGGTGTAACTAACACAATATAAAATACACATATTTAGAGTATACAATTTGATGAATTTTGACAAATATATATCCACATCTGGGAAGCCACCACTGAAATCAAGAGAATGAACATACTAACCACTCCCACAAGTTTTCTCAAAACCCCAGCCCTGGCCCTCCCACATGCAAATATTTATCTGCTGTTGCTCAAAATTAGCATGCAATGTTTTAGGCTTTTATATAATGAAATCATATAATGAGTTATTTTTTTAAATATGGTTTCTTCTTCAGACTCTTAACTCTAAAGAACAAACTGATGGGTGGGGGTTGGTTAAAAAGGAGATGGGGATTAAGGCGTGCATATGTTGTGATGAGTGCCAGGTGATTATGGAAGTGTTGAATCACTATATTGTACACCTGAAACTAATGTTATACCGTATGTTAACTAACTGGAATTTAAATAAAAACAAAAAAATGGTTTCTTTAACTCAGCATCAATATTTTAAGATTCATCCATGTTGTTATGTTCATCAGTAATTCATTCCTTTTTATTGCTGAGAAATACTCAATTGTATGGGTATCCCACAATTTGTATACGTGTTCACCCGTTGATGGACATTTAGTTTGTTTCCAATTTTTGCTGAAGCTGGTATGAATATTTGTGTACTCGTCTTTGTATGGATATATATTTTCTTTTCTCTTGGGTAAATACATAGAAGTGGAATGATTGGGTCTTATAGCAGGTGTAGGTTAAAATTTTTAAGAAATTGCCAAAGTGTTTTTCCAAAGTGGTTTTACGATTTTACATTCCTGCCAGCAGTGTATGTTTCTTTTCCTCCACATCCTGCCAACACTTAGTATAGTTAGTATTTTATAATTTTAGCCAATCTAGTGGCTAATGGTATCTCATTAGCCAATGGTATCTCATTGTAGTTTTAATTTGCATTTTCCTGATGACTAGTGAGCTTGATATCTTTTCATGTTCTTACTTACCATCGCTATATGGCATTTTTATGAGAAATGTGTGTTCAAATCTTTGCCCACATTGTAAATTGGGTTGCTGGACTTTTTATTATGAAGTTTTAAAGGTTCTTTATATATTTTAGGTAAAAATTCTTTTGTCACATATACATTTTGTAAATGTTTCTTCTAGTCTGATGGTTACTTTTTTTTGTAACAGTGACTTTTGAAGAACCAAAATTTAGAAGCTTGATGAAACCCAAATTTAAAATTTTTCTATCATCGTTTCAAATCTACATGATGTTTATCTCTCTGTTGTGTCTTATTGCAAAGACTAACCTCTAGCCCAATGTTGAGTAGAAGTGATGAAAGCAGATAACCGTGTCTTGCACCTAATCATAGGAGAAAAGCTTATATTTTCACCATTGAATATGATGTCAGTTTACTTTATTTATAGATGCCCTTTATATGGCTGAGGAAGTTCTTTTCCATTTCTAGTGTCCTGAAGCTTTTATCAGAAATAGGAATTGGATTTTGTCAAATGCTTTCTCTGCATCTATTTGAGATGAGCATATTTTTCTTTTTTAATCTGTTAATATGGTGAATTGTTTTGGTTAACTTCCAAATGTTAAACTACCCTGGCATTTCTGGGGGGGGGGGGGGGGAGGAAACTCAGTTGGTCATGATGTGTTACCTTTTTATATATTTAATTTCATAAAACATTGTTTAACATTCTTGTGGCTATGTTCATAAGGAATACAATTTTGTAGTTTACTTGTAATGTCTTTTCTGGTTTTGAGAGAGCATATACTGGCTTCCTAGAATAAGTTGGGAACTTCTCTTTAAAATTCTGGGAGATTTTATGTAGAATTGGTGTTATTTCTTCCTTAGAAGTTTTGTAGAATTCATCAGTGAAGCCATCTGGGCCTGGAGTTTTCTTTGAGTCAAGATTTTTAACTACAAATTCAGTTTCTTATTTTCACAGATTTAGACCATTCAGGTTATCTGTTTCTTTAGTGAGTTTTGGTGGTTTATATTGTTCATAGAATTTGTCCGTTTCATCTAAGTTGTTGAATTTACTGATATGAGGTCATTCATAACATGTCCTTTTAATGATTCTATGATCAGTAGAGATGATTTGTGTCTCATTCCTGACACTGGGAATTTGTGTTTTCTTTTTTTCCTGATGTGTCTAGCTAGGTTTGTTAGTTTTATTGATTTTCTTAAAGAATCTTTTTTTACAAAAAGAAAGTTCTTTTCTTAAAGAAGCTTTTTACAAAAAAAATTATGAAAAAAAAAGAAGAAACTTTTGGGACACCTAGGTGGCTCAGTCAGTTAGGCGTCTGACTTCAGCTCGGCTTATGATCTCACAGTTTGTGAGTTCGAGCCTCGCATCGGGCTCTGTGCTGACAGCTCAGAGCCTGGAGCCTGTTTCAGATTCTGTGTCTCCCTCTTTCTCCCCTCTCTCACTCATGCTCTTTCTCTATCTCAAAAATAAAATAAAACATTTTTAAAAAATTTTTAAAGAGAATAAGCTTTTCATTTTGTTGATGATACTTATTTTGATTTTTTGTTTATTTTATTGATTTTTCATTTGTGTCTTTATATAAGATGAAAGCTTAGGTCATTGATTTCAGACATTTTTCCTTTCTAATATGAGCATGTATCAATATAATTTTTTTAATAAACAGTGCTTTGGCTGTATACCCCAAATTTTACGATGTTGAGTTTTCATTTCCAATCTGTTTAAAATACTTTCTAATTTCCTTTTAAATTTCTTCCCTATTGGTTACTTAAAATTATGTTATTTAATTTCCAAATATTTGGAGATGTCACAGATATCTTTATGTGATTGATTTCTAATTTAATTCCATTGTGGTGAGAGAGTATCCTTTGTATACTTTGAAACTTTTTAAATTTATTGAAACTTGTTATATGGTCAAGAATATGGTCAATCTTGCTCAATTTTCCACGTACCCATGAAAAGAATGCTCACTCTGCTGTTGTTGGGTAGACTGTAATATAAGTATCAGTTATGTTGGTTGATACTCTCATTCAGGTCTTCTACAGCCTCACTGATTTAGCTGTCTGCTTTTCTCTATCACTTATTAAGAAAGAGGTGTTGAAATCCCTTGACTATAGTTGTGAATTTCTATATTTCTCTTTTAATGCATATCAGTTTTTTTGGAGTCCCAGTGGCACAATTGGTTAGCACACAGTACTTATATCAGTTTTTAATCCTGTATTTGAAGCTCTCTTATTAGAAGTATAACTATCTGGGTTTGCTATGTCCTTTTGATCAAATGACCCTTTTATCATTATAACATTACTAATTTCAATCCTCATAACATTCTTTTATTTGAAATCTATTTCATTATAGAACTATTCAGGTTTTCCATTTCTTCTTGAAGTGATTTTGGTTATGGAATTACTCATTGCATTGAAACATTCAGATTTATTGATAATGGTATACATAATAACCTTATATTATATTTTAAATATATGCAACATCTGTAAGATGTACCCTTTTACCTTTCAGTTTTGTTAATCTATGTCTTTGTTTTTCAACAGAAGTTTATCAATTTTATTAGTATATCAAAGAATTAATTTGGGGGGTTTTGTAGATCCTCTATGTTGTATCTTTCTTTTCCATTTTGTTAATTTATGTTACCTTTTCCTTCTTTCCATACATGTACTTTATTTTATTGTTCTTTATCTGACACCTTTGGTCTTTCTGATATATATATTTTAGCTATAAATTCCTCTCTGAGGACTGCTTTCGCTGCTTTTGTAATTTTTTTTTTATTTTATTTTTTTTTTTAATTTTTTTTTTCAACATTTATTTATTTTTGGGACAGAGAGAGACAGAGCATGAACGGGGGAAGGGCAGAGAGAGAGGGAGACACAGAATCGGAAACAGGCTCCAGGCTCTGAGCCATCAGCCCAGAGCCTGACGCGGGGCTCGAACTCACGGACCACGAGATCGTGACCTGGCTGAAGTCGGACGCTCAACCGACTGCGCCACCCAGGCGCCCCAACTGCGCCACCCAGGCGCCCCTGCTTTTGTAATTTTTGCTATCAGCATTAATTTAAAATTTTTTCTAATTTGCACTATAATTTCTTTTTGCCTCATGACTTAGCTGCTGGATATTATGTATGAAAGTTATTTGTAGGAATCTGAAGCTTAGGACAAAAGGACTTTTTTCCAAAGAGAACTTGGTGCTTGCTTCTGTAGGAACCCAGACGGCTTACCACCCTAGACCAACTTAAATGAAGTTCAAAGCTTGATCTCAGGTCGTATTTCTTCAAGGACCATTGCACTTCTAGGTCACCTTTACCTTCAGGGTGTAGTCCTGTGTTGGCCCTTATTTGGGTCCTGAGCTTTGAGTCTTGTCTTTCAGGCTTTCAGGACCTTTTAAGCTGTCACAAGAAAAGTTTTCACTCTTCAGGATATGACAATGACCTCAGGCCACAAATGGCTACTGTACTCCCTACAACTCAGGCTTCTCACTTGCCCTTTATGTTGGCCTATTAATTCCTACTTTATTCACTCCTTGACAGCTTTAATTTTTTTTATTTTAATCTGCCTTTTTAGTTGTGTCCAGTGGGAGAGTTGAACCAAAAAAATATGTATTGTTATTCCCTAAAACAAGAAGTCTTTTTATATAATAAACTTTAACAGAAGAATGCATCTACATACGGTATAGCTTTACTTTCACTAAATGTCAATAGTTCAATATTGTTCTATCAATTCCAATCATCACAGTCCCCACTTGTTGACATATTCAGCCACTTGCGTCTTTGTGTCTGAAATATCACTCACTTCTGAAGGTTAAAAGCCTTTCTTAGAATAAGCACACAGATCTAAGGCTTCTATAACTCTTCTTGAACTTAAAGCTCTTCTAACCTTTTTAAAAAATTCTAAATTTCAGAGTACATTTACTTCCCAGAACAAGAAAATAGCCTTTCTATTTCCTCTTCCAGTTAATCAAGGGAAGTAATTTAGTTGACCTCTAATTCTCTAGCTCTCAGTTGCTGTTCAGCAGAGCAAGGAGACAGCAGTTCACATGTAGTGTCTTCACAGACACTGCATGAAATCTTTTGAGTGTCTTCTTCCTGTCATGAAAGAGAAATCTTCCTAACTTAACAGAAAATCTCATGTGGTATCAGTTTGTTGTTATCTGGAGCAGCTAGATAAATAAAGGTTACACATCAAACATTTAAAAATTATTATCTTGTTGTTTAACCAAGGGTTGAAACCAAGGGTTTAAAATGTCTTCACCAAAAGTAAATAATATCTCACTATGTGGTCTGTATCTAAATGAAAATATTTGATAATTAGATTTTTAAGGGAAGGTTGAAACTAACCCCTCTTTACTTTTGTGTATGCCTCTTATTTAGCTACAATATTTCTCATTCATTTTATATTCAGCTTTCATAGAAAATGTGAGTGGATACAAATGCATATTGATTATATTATGCCTTTGATTTAGGAAGAAATTAAGGTAAAAAAGCCACTGTCACCTCCAAAGTCATGCTCTACTGCTGGCTCTTGTTCTTCAGAGGTGATGAGTACCAAGACCGACGTCAAAGAGAACACCATTTGCATACCAAACTATCTGGATCAGGAAATCAAAGTAAGAGGCAGATTTTTTAAATCCATAACTTAGGAACAGCATGAACATACAAAAAGTCACATTACTGGGGCGCCTGGGTGGCGCAGTCGGTTAAGTGTCCGACTTCAGCCAGGTCACGATCTCGCGGTCCGTGAGTTCGAGCCCCGCGTCAGGCTCTGGGCTGATGGCTCAGAGCCTGGAGCCTGTTTCCGATTCTGTGTCTCCCTCTCTCTCTGCCCCTCCCCCGTTCATGCTCTGTCTCTCTCTGTCCCAAAAATAAATAAACGTTGAAAAAAAAAAATTAAAAAAAAAAAAAAGTCACATTACTAACATCCTTAAAACTCTTTAGTGGCTCCCCCTTGACAACTGAATTGATCTAAAACCACTTAGCCTGAAATTCAGGGCCTACTTCTATTTTTATTTCCAGTTTTCTCCCTGGAATCCCGTCACTGTTATGGAAACCTAACCTTTGGTTTAGGCATAATGAAGAACTTGGCATTGGCTGAACAAGCTCAGCCCTGTTCTTCCCACGTTTCTCTTTATCATTCTTTAGCATTCTTCCCAATGCTTGAAAGGCACTACTTCTTGCCATTAGCTATATATTTCCTGTACATATTTTAAGGCAGAGATTCCTCCAGTCAACATCCATCTCTCTCTTATCTGTGGAAAACTGTTTCCTCAAACCTACTCTGCATGGGGTTATAAACTTAGTTATATTTATAGTAATATGCCATATCAGACTACTGGAAGGTTCTTTCCAGCCACAATTATCTCTGAGAATGACATATAATCAAGAATAAACCAATCAGCTGGTATCTGTTTTCCTTCTTTAGATCCTTTTGGTAACATCCACATTGCCTCGCCATAAGACTCACTACAATAAATTAAAGGTGAAAATACCATAATGATGACTTTGATAGCAGTTATAAATAAGTCTGTAGTAGCAATTACAAATAGCAGAGCATGTTATTAGGGTTATTATTGAATAATCCTGATAAGGAACTATTTTAAGAATAAAGCTTAGGGGCGCCTGGGTGGCGCAGTCGGTTAAGCGTCCGACTTCAGCCAGGTCACGATCTCGCGGTCTGTTAGTTCTAGCCCCGCGTCGGGCTCTGGGCTGATGGCTCAGAGCCTGGAGCCTGTTTCCGATTCTGTGTCTCCCTCTCTCTCTGCCCCTCCCCCGTTCATGCTCTGTCTCTCTCTGTCCCAAAAATAATAAATAAACGTTAAAAAAAAAAAATTAAGAATAAAGCATAACAGTGGCATTGGGTATAATTATGCTGATGATTAAAATTGGGAAGGAAAATAAAAGGAAGGGAGGAGAAGAGGATAGAGTATCTGAAGACATGCGTTGCGGTTATACATGATTTCCTGATGATTCTGGCTGAAGACTTTCTATTTATATAGAGTCTTCAGAATCACTGTCTGTCTACTCACTACCGTCTGGCACCATAGATCCTCTAAAATTCGCTCATTTCCACCCTTAGGGACTTTCCCTCTCCTTGATCCTCTCAGTGGTCACCTTCTACTCATTAAAGTCTCAGTTTAAATATCACTTAAAAATACTTTCCCTGACCATCCAAAGTCACTACCTAGTCACTCTCTATACTATTACTCTTTGTTATTTTTTGCATAACGCATGCCCTATGTGATATGTTTCTATTTATCTGTTTCAGTACTGTCTCTGCTTCCTTGCTCCACTCACCAAAATTTAAGTCTTATGGATCTCATACTCATCTGTCTTGGTTACTGCTTTATCTTCTGTGCCTAGATAAGTGCTGGGCACCTAGTAATTATTAAGTATTTATTGAATGTTGAATATAAACATTAAAAAGAAAAGTTCTACCAAGATCAAAGTGGAACTATAGAAAATCAGCTAACTATATAGGTCCTCAACTCAACCAAATGATAAACTGAGTACAGTTTTAGTAAGACTGTCTTCCTTCTTTATGCACATCAAATAATAGACCAGCAACATGATCTTATAGAACTGGGCTTTTGGGCATCTATTTAAAAAGCCTTCCTCTCAAATGCATCTTCTACCTCACAGATTTTGACTTAACTGGACATTAATACAAAATCTACTAAAATGTACTCTTTGAAAGAAGGCATCCTGTCTATCTTGTTACAACTGATTCCTCAGCACTCATCACTTTGCTTGAAAACTATTAACTGGCACACACAGCATGGCATTTTATCTAACAGTTGGTGGCTATTTGTTAAATAAATGAAAAGAGAGGGAGTAAAGTGAGAAAATAGGTCTTACCAAAGTTTTTTGGCTTGTATAAATGAGTCCTAAAAATAAATCTCATCTTGGTGGTATTCCAACCTTCCATGCTTTCAAAAAAAAAAAATCTGAAATATCTTCCAATTTCCTACTATCCAAGCTGGTAACTCTGAATGGCCGTGAAGTCAAGAAATGTTTGTGCAAGCATGTGTATGAAAGACTGTACAGTTTTACAATTATTACTTTACGGGAAAAGAAAAACAGAACGCTGTGTCTGTTCACATCTTGTTTTTAGATTTCCTCCTCAAAATCTCGAATTTATAGAAATAAGTCTCTTTACTATTGGCACAAAAAGCCTGCCAAACACATTCATTTACTTTACAAATATCTAATATCAATGACAAAATACTAGAGTTTGGGGATATAGCTCATTCCTTCACTCACATAGGTTATGAGAGAGATTGTGCAGGTGTTGTTAAGAACATATAGGAGGAGATTTTGGAGCTGAGAGAGTCTTCAAGGGGAAAGAAACATAAAGAATGTTTAAGACATAATTAGAAGATGAATAGAAGTATGGAAGAGATCATTCTCAGACAAGAGACCTTCATATCTAAAGGCTAAGAGGTGAGAGCACTGTTTATTCAAGGAATTAAAAACAATATGGCTGATGCAGAGTGCAGGGAGAAAGTTGCAAGAGATGAGGTTGGAGACTTATGCAGAGACCAGAAATAAAGGATATTATAAGCCATATTGAAATGTTCAGATTCATCTGAAGTACTATGGGAAGGTAGAGTAAAATTTTAAACACTGATTTATACTGAAATTACTTTGTAAGTATAAGAATTAAAAGGTCAGATTGTACTTTAGAAAAGTCACTCTAGATACAATATGCAGAATTAATTTCGAAGGGGGAGGCAAAATTGCAAGGGAGGTACTGTGCTTCCAAAATGTTAGGTTAATTCCAAGACTTAGCTTCCTGCTGTAAACAACTATATAACCGGGAAAAATACATGAACAAACTATTTTCAAGCATTAGGCAACAGACAGTGTAGATTTATGATGGTTGATAGAAAGAAAGGAAACCATTGAGATGATCTCCACTTTCAACCTAGATTTCAGCCTGGGCTTACTCCTAATCATGGCACAGAGAGGGGGAAGCCTAAACAGAACAATAACAGAAGTAACAGCTTCACTAGGTAGAGAAAAAAGAGTTTAGAGCTTGGGCACTCTGAAGTGGCTGGAATTTACAAATAAGATACTAAAGAGGAGGAATCTGTGGAGAGAATGAGCTCCAGAAATCTGTATAGGGTTCCACAAGTCTTTAGTTCAGTATAAGTTACATATGCACAGGATGATATTCTGAGACCTGGAAGAAGAGAGCTAGTGGGAAGTAGGACATTGCTTAGAGACGCTGGTGTTCTGGTCTGCCAGAGTGGAGAGACCTTACTGAACACACCAGGAACTCAACTGAAACCCCAGAAAGTCACACCTGAAAAGAGAGTAGGGTACTCTAGCCCTCAGTAGGGGCTACTCTAGATCTATAACCTCAAATCCTAAAATCAGGATTTAGCAGACCAAATTCACCCACCAATATATTAGGTACCATCGAAAAAAAACTCAATGAAAAGAAATCAGGAGGATTCCGTAAAGTACATATTCTACTTCCTCTCACTGAAAGGAGAATTATATTCTCTCAAAGTTGATCACTGAGAGACCTATAAATTAGAAGAAGCTGGGAGCAATGTGTGATCACCATATTGATGAAAAACCCATTAGAGGCAGAGTGGCCTAGGGAATACCATAGGGCTTTTTTTCTTTTTTTGCCATGGCCATTGATTTATTGTGAAATTAGGAGCAAATTTATACTCTCTTCTAGTATATTGCATTATTGAGGACAAAAATCTTAATAATATAACAAAGTTCAATATAGGGCAGTGGATTTTTCTGCCCTTTAATTTCAATTCTGTATCTCCGGCATCTAGATCAATAACAAACACAAATATCTGTTGAATTAATAATACTTCAAGAAGTATTTCAGTTGATAAACCTTTAGCCAGACTCATTAAGAAAAAAAGAGAAAGGATTCAAATAAGTGAAATCAGAAATGAAAGAGAAGAAATAACAACTGACACCACAGAAATACGAAAAATTATATGAGAGTACTATGAAAATTTATATGCCAACAAATTGGATAATGTAGAAGAAATGGATAAATTCCTAGAAACATACAATCTTTCAAAACTGAACCAGGAAGCAAAATAGAAAATTTGAACAGACTGATTACTACTAACAAAATTGAATCCGTAATAAAAAAATCTCCCCACAAATGAAAGTCCAAGACCAGATGGCTTCACAGATTAATTCTACCAAACATTTAAAGAAGAGTTAATACCTTTTCTTCTTAAACTATTCCAAAAAATAAAATAGGGAGGAAAATTTCCAAATTCATTTTATGAGGCCAGCATTACCCTGATGCCAAAATCAGACAAAGGCACTACAAAAAAAAAAAAAAAAATTACAGGCAATATCTTTGATGAACACATATGTAAAATTCCTCAACAAAATATTAGCAAACCAAATTCAACAACACATCAAAAGGACCATTCACTATGATCAAGAGGGATTTATTCTATAGATGCAAAGGTTGTTCAATATTTGCAAATCAATGCAATATATTACGTTAACAAGAGTAAGGATAAAAACCATATGATCATTTCAGTAGATTCAGAAAAAGGTTTTGACAAAATACAGCATCAATCTGTGATTAAAAACTCTCAACAAAACTACATTGGGGAACATACCCCAATGTAATAAAGGCCACATATGAAAAACCCACAGCTAACAAAATACTCAATGGTGAAAAACTGAAACTTTTCCTCTAAGATCAAGAATAAGACAAGGATGGCCACTCTCACCACTTTTACTCAACATAGTGCTGGAAGTCCTAGTAGCAGCAATCAGCAAGAAGTGAAATAAAACACATCCAGATTGGTAAGGAAAAAGTAAAAGTTCCACTAGTTGCAGATGGCATGATACTATATACCCTTAAACACTCCACCAAAAAACTATTAGAACTAATCAATGAATTCAGTAGAGTCACAGCATACAAAATTAACATACAAAAATCACCCGTGACTCTAATACAAGGTATCAGAAAAAGAAATTAAGAAATCAATCCCATTTATAATTGCACCAAAAATAATAAAATACCTAGGGATAAATTTAACCAAGGAGGTGAAAGAGCTATACTCTGAAACTATAAGACACTGATGAAAGAAATTGACAAAAACAATAGAAAGATATTCTATGCTCACGGATTGGAAGAATTAATATTGCTAAAAATGTTGATAGTACCTAAAGCAATCTACAGATTCATTGCAATCCTTATCAAAATACCAAAAACATTCTTCACAGAACTAGAACAAATAATACCAAAATTTTATGGAACCACAAAAGACCCTGCATAGTCAAAGCAATCTTGGGAAATAACTAATCTGGAGGTATAACACAATCCCAGATTTCAAGACATATCACATAGCTATGGTAATCAAAACAGTATGGTACTGGCACAGAAATAGATACATAGATCAATGGTACAGGATAGAGAGCCCAGAAATAAACCCATGCTTATATGGCCAGTTAAGCTATGACCAAGGAGGCAAGAATATACAATGGGGATAAGACAGTCTCTTCAACAAATTGTATTGGGAAAACTGGATAACAACATGAAAAACAGAGAAACGGGGCCACTTTCTTACACCACAGACAAACATACTCAAAATGGATTAAAAACCAAAATGTGAGACCTGAATAGTGGCCATGAGAAAAAAAAGATATAAAACTCCTAAAAGGAAGCATAGGCTGTAATCTCTTGGACATTGGCTTTAGCAATATATTTATGGATATGTCTCCTCACGGAAGGAGGACAAAAGCAAAAGACAAAAGCAAAAATAAACTACTGGGGCTACACCAAAATAAGAAGCTTTTGCACAGCAATGGAAACCATCCACAAAACAAAAAGGCAACCTAATGAATGGGAAAATATATTTGCAAATGATATATCCAATAAAGGGTTAATATCCAAAATATATAGAGAACATATACAACTCAACATCAAAAAGCCAAACAATGCAATTACAAAACTGACAGAGGAGGGGCACCTGTTAATCGTCCAACTCTTGATTTTGGCTCAGGTCAAGATCTCACAGTTGTGAGATCAAGCCCCATGTCAGGCTCCATGTGAAGCCTGCTTGTGATATTCTCTCTCTCTCTCTCTCTCTCTCTGTTTGTGTGTGTGTGTGTCTGTCTCTGTCCTTCCCCCACTTTCTCTTTCCCTCTCTCTCAAACATAAATAAACATTAAAAACAAATGAACAAAAAACCAAAGAGCACATGGCTTAAAAATGTTGGAGAAAAAGTATTATGTAAATGTGTCAGGCACATATTTGGTAAAAATATATTATTAAAAAAATGTGCAGAGGGAGGTGCCTGGGTGGCTCAGTTGCTTAAGCATCCGACTTCAGCTCAGGTCATGATCTCACATTCATGAGTTCGAGCCCCCCCATCAGGCTCTGTGCTGACAGCTCAGAGCCTGGAGCCTGCTTCAGATTCTGTCTCCCTCTCTCTCTGCCCCTCCCCTACTCTCTCTCTCTCTCTCTTTCTCAAAAATAAATAAACATTTAAAAAAATGTCAGAGGATCTGAATTGACATTTTTCCAAAGATGGCCAATAGACACATGGAAATGTGCTCAGTATCACTCATCATCAGTGAAACGCAAATCAAAACCACAATGAGATATCACCTCACACTTGTCAGAATGGCTGGTATCAAAAAGGCAATAGTAACAAGTGTTGGTGAGGATGTGGAGAAAAGAGAATGCCTGTACACTGTTAGTGGGAATGCAAATTGGTGCAGCTACTGTGAAGAACAGTATGGAGTTTCCTCAAAAAATTAAAAATTGGAAATACCATATGATCCAGTAATTCCACTGCCCAAAGAGAATGAAAACAGTAATTCAAAAAGATGTATGCACCCCTATGTTCATTGCAGCATTATTCACAATAGCAAAGATATGGAAGCCACTCCAGTGTCCATTGATAGATAAATGGATGAAGAAGATACATATATACATACATACACACCATATCTTATACGTACATACATATACATATATACAATGGACTGTTGTTTCATCATAAAAAAGTGTGAGATTGTGCCATTTGTGACAACATGGATGGACCCAGAGGGTATTATGCTAAGTGAATAAATCAGACAAAGAAAGAAAATACCATATGATTTCACTTACATATGGAATATGAAAAACAAAAATGAACAAACAAACAGACTCTTTTTTGGTTAAAAATGTTTTAATGTTTATTTACTTTTAAGAGAGAGAGACAGACGGAGTGTGAGTGGGGGAGGGGCAGAGAGAGGGGGAAACACAGAATCTGAATCAGGCTCCAGGCTCTGAGCTGTCAGCACAGAGCCCAACTCGGGGCTCAAACTCAGGAACCGTGAGATCATGACCTGAGCTGAAGTCGGACGCTCAACTGACTGAGCCACCCAGGTGCCCCCAAACAAACTCTGAAATACAGAGAACTAGTAGTTGCCAGGGGGTAAGTGGGTAAGTGGATGGGCAAAATAGGTGAAGACGCTTAAGAAATACAAACTTCCAGTTATAAAATAAATAAGTCATGGAGATAAAAAGTACAGCATAGGGACTGTAGCCAACAATATTATAATAATGTTGCATGGTGCCTACATTAATTTGGTGAGCATCGAGTAACGTATAGAACTGTCAAATCACTATGTTGTACACCATGTTGTATTGTATGTCAACTATACTTCAATAATAAATTTAAAAAAAAAGGAAAGATTTCAGGCACGCTAGGGAAAAGGATGTTGCAGAAGCTCAAGTAAGAATCGATGATAGTTTAGACTGGGCCAAGGGTGTGGAGATAAAAAGAAATGGAGAGATTTGAGAAATATTTAGAAGAAAGAATTTACTGAACTTGTTGTCTGGCAGCATACATTATGTGCAAGGGAGTCATCCAGGATGAATCTCAGGGTCTGGCTTGGACATATATTCAGTGTATGCCAGAGCTGTCCATCGAGGTAAGGGAACCAGGAGGAACCAAGTGTGGAGCAGGTTTTAGAAAGAAGAAGATGGGTTTAGTTTTAGATAATTTGGGTTCAAAGTATCTATAGTATATCTAGGTGGATACATTTGGTAGGCAGCTGGATACATAGGACTGAATTTCAGATATGTCTAAATTCTAAGAACAGACACAATTTAGAATCAAACTGGAAACATCATTACTTGTGCTTTAAGTTTTGTACTTTAATGCTTATAGTCCATTTTTATTAGAATTATTTCATATATTTATCTCCTCTATCTTCCACATTTCAGACCCGAAATTTAAAACACACACACGCACGTCAAGGAAGGATACTGACTGCCAAAAGTGAATTATATTCCTAGCCCATTGGACCAACCACTGTGTTCAGGGAACTGAGGAAAAATGACTCCAGCTAGATTCACCCACTACGGTACAGCAGGGATACAGTTATGTGACTGGAAAATCCCAATTAGAACCCCATGGTGCAGTGGGAAAGGATCCATTCCCCAAAAAGAAGGAAAGTGAATTGCCCCTCCGGAAGATGTGGATACTGAGCAGACAAAACAAAAGGAACACTGTATTACCTAACCCAAACTATTACTTGTATTGATTTTTTGTTTGTTTTCTCTTTGAAATCTGGTTCCCAGGCTAAAATCCCAATTGACTTAATGAGCAGTGGGTACAGAGTGACATTTGGGCGATAAGATTGTGGAGACAGTAAAGGAAATCTTGTAACACTTACACCATTTATTTGCTCACTCTGTAATTCTAATATTCTCTGTCAGATTCTGGCAAAGCTCTGTAACGTTTTACGTACTGATTCCCTGGCGGAAGTTCTACAGTGGCTGGTTCATGCCAGCACAAAAGGTGAGATTAAAATAAGCATTTGCAAACACTGGGCTCAGTTTATTGTCAGAAAGTGTGAATGCGCCAATATATGAAGTTTTCTACCTTGGATTTGCAAAGGTAATGTTGCAATATTATTTCCCTAGTACTTCGGTATCAGAGTCTCTGTAGTCCTCTATAACTGACTGTATGCAACTGGTTACTCAGTGACCCCAAATTTGGTATGCCCCACATTAAACTGCTTTGGGTGGTGTGAAACACGTGTGTCCAGGGCTGGCTTGTGCTTCTTCTCCTAAGTCCATACACCGAGGTGTCTCCCTGAGTATATTTTCTGGCCTACCATGAACCATGAACACAGAGCCTGTTTCCTTTCTCTGGTATGGGTGGCTATTGCACAGCCTTTCAAGTTCTAGATTCTAACAGCTCTGCCAGTTCCCCACCCAAATCATCAACTCAGTCATCTCTCAGCCTCCTTTTGGGCCTGTGTGGCCTGTTCCATGAAAACATATACCAGTCCCATGTGGGCCAGCCATAAATAGCATAGAGTGGCTTCCCTCAAACCTAACTCGTCATCAGATTGAGGCAAAACTTCTGAGGTGGGCAGGGCCTGAGAATTTGCATTTCTAACAAGTGCCTAGGTGCTGATAATGCTGGTCTGGGGGCTACTTTTTGAGAATCTGCACCAATAAAAGTTAGGAAATATGGATGTGTTAGAGATAGACTAATATTCTTAAATGGGGAGAATTTTGGCAATAGTACTTTACCCAGGAATTCAAGACTACTTGGCAAGCAATTAAGAAGTATTTGGGGGCAAGGAGTCTTTGATTATTATTTTTTCTTTTTAAGAATGTAACTTAAAAATATACACAAGTAATTAAGTACTTATTGCTGAGGGGAAAAACCCAAATGAACCAGAAAAAAAAATATGAGAAAGGAAGAATAATAATCAATAAAATCATCACAGACATCATTTCAGTGACTACTTTGGTAAATATCTTTATAGGCATCTTATAACTATTTACTACTTAACTATTAGTCTGTAATTAATGAGATTATATTGTACTTATTATTTTGTGTAGATATGCTTTCTTTTATTTGGCAGCAGCCTGAAAGGCTGGGTTTTGTACTCAATATTTAAAAAGAATTCCACTGCCATTCAGGGACAAGTGCCTCAGTGAGCTAACAGCTCGGGGCACTCTATAGTATCACAGGTCAATAGAAATCAGGTTGATGTGAACCAATTTTTCTGCAGAAACCTTGACTCATTAATAAATGCCTACTTGGAAAATGGATTACCATACCAGCCTTTCATACTAGAGTGCTGGATAAAAGAACCAATCCTGCGTTTCTAGTCAACATGATAATTATAACCTTTATGCCCACCCCTGTTCTTTAAATCAGAAAAAGAGTGGATCTCAGCTTTGATTCATGCTGAAATGGCTGAGATAAATTTGTTGACTCAACGAAGAAACATCTCAGCAGAACTAGCAACAAAGAGTAGGAAGCCACCCAAAGTTAAATCGCCCCCAAATTTACCTGCAAAATCTGAAGTACTGACCAAATCGAGGGAAAGACAGCAACCAGCCAGGTAATTAGATATAATGGCTAAGTAGATATGGTACAGAAAGATTTTCAGTTTTCTTTTTGTTACCTTTCAAAACACTAAACATTCTGATGTTTTAAGTCTCCTCTTTATTCAGCAGGGGACCACCATGTGTATTTATTTTCTTTCATTTTCATAAATGTAATATGAGAATTATTCTAAATCCTATTTTAGCCACCCAGACATCTAAGAAAATGTAGTTTTGTTATTTGCCCTAAAAATGGAAGCAATAAAGAAAACAGAAATTGTATTATTATTGTATATTTTGTTGAATGCATATCACACAAATGTCACTTTTTGTGTGTGTGTGTAGAACAATGCTAGATTAAAATAAATTGCTTCAATTAATTTCTCTGGCACACTCCTGGAGGCTGCTAGAGGGAAAAATAACTACTACAGCAACTGTAAATTATTTTAGTAGAAATTTTTCTTAAACCTTATAATTTCAATGACAGAAGAAAATACATATTTATGTGTAATACCATGGTGAAAGAATGTGGTAAGATGTTATTTAAGTCGGGAGAGAAAGTCTTGTTACTTTAAAATTAAAAGTTGGGTAAAACTTAAACTGAGAAAAAATAAATATTCAAAACCCAAGTCACTTTAAAAACGTTTGAGACAGAGGAAAGTTCTGTATTGCAAGTTGTCTCCACTTTAAAGTTTCCATAAAGTTGGAAACTGGGAAATAGGATCAGTCTTTCTACCTTAGTGAATAATATATGATGTACTGTTTAGATATGACTCAAAGTCAGAAGAATTTCTCATTGGAAAGTACCTTTAATACTGTCTACATTGAAAAACAATTGTGATAAAATATTTAAGATACATATATACTTAGCTTACTGATCATAGTGCAGTCTATAGAAAATACTTGTTTGTATCTGTGAATTTCATTTTCTATTTCTCCATTTGATTTAGAGTGTCAAGTCAAGGATCTGAAGGAAATAAGGAAGTACCAAAAGGTTAAGTACAGTTTGTGATACTCAGTTGGTATAGAGAAACCAATAAGTATCTATCTACCTAACTATTTAGGGACACAGACAAGGACAGGGACCTATGGTTTTAAAAGCAGTGCAATACCATAATGATCTCCAATTACTCTTAAGGGACAGTGTGTGCTGAATTTCTCATTGAGATAAATTTGACATAAACTTAACTGTGTTTTGAAAGGCAAAGTGCCTCATCAGGGACAGACACTCTAAGAAACAAGACAGCAGGATAGATAGGTTTGGTCTGGCCAATCCAGGAGAGGCCCTGCACTGACCTAACAAAAGGACAGTGATCTCAGGGTTTTGCTTCTTCATAGGTTAACTGTGAAGCTAAGTGATTTTAACTAGAAACCAAGTCAACCGTAGAAAACAGTAAAATGGCAATCAGCCACAAGCAGATGCTTTATGAGATAGCTGAAAAACAATAGAGAGGAGTAGTTCTCTGTCCCAGCCACACCCTACAGTTTGGACCAACAAGAATCAAGAGTTGTAGAATGTCCTACTTCGGTTCAGAATAGCCCAACTGAAACATCCCTGTGGATTTGGCAGCTCCTAACTTAAAACAAGTGTAGCAACGATGACTATAGAGCAAAGACCAGGAGGAGGATGTCTATAAGCCTCAAACAAAAGTCTGTCCTGTTATATCTACAAGTTTCCCTTATACCAAGAATGATATGGTAATCAGAGTTCTTTGAGGTCACTCTAAACCCCAGCGGCTTTTGTTAGGGTTAACACCAAAGAGGGCCCATGTGTTAATAGGCAATAAGAAATAAAACTTAGAAGTTAGAAAATACTCCCTTATACTGACATGCCAAGGATGGTCTATTATATCTGATTCCTACCAAACTCCTCACCCTAAGACCACAAAGTCATGACAGTGATGGTTTCTATTACTCAGCTTTACGTCTTACCTGTTGGCCCCAAATATATTTTACCCTATCTAGATATTTGGAAAACTTTTGTATAGAAGCCCCAATCATACTTGTCTCCAGGGGTGATAGTCAGCATCTCCCCAAATCCTAATTCTGGCTTGGGTTTGACCATATAGGTCTTGGGAAGCTCTTACGAATACAATTGACTTGTTTTAATCTGCTTATCTATTTTCTTTTTTGTCTTTCAAAACCATAGATCCTTTTCCTTCCTCCCACTGTTCCCATTCTTACCTATCACCTCTACAGATCACTAATTCTAATTAATTCCTACCAAAACAATGTTTGATTTTAAGAGGATAGAACATATCCTGCATGTTATAGAAAATATTACTCATTAAAAAAGAGCAGGTAGTAAGAAAGATAAGACTGGGTTCTTTTATGAATATTGGGTATATTTGATTGGCCTAAACTTCATATAGTTTTTTTTTTTGTTTTGTTATGTCATTTGCTACTAAAACACGGCAGAAGCTATATTTATGTCTCAATTTTGGCCTTATTTAGACTTTTTCTATTTCAGAGGCTGAACACAGGCCTCCATTTTTTATAAGAAGAAATAAGATGAAAATGCCCATTGCAGAATATTTCAGCAGACCAAAATCTCCTCCCAGGCCTAAAACTCAGGAAATCATATCAACAAAACCAATGTCAGCAAGAAGTATACACCAAGGATGCACTCTCTCTCCCCAGAGAGCATTTTATCCTTTAACATCCCAAAGGTAGAAATTCTGGACTGCGCTATTTCTTTCACAAACATGATCTTCACTCCATTACAACATCAAATTATTTTTTAAAAATATTTTGGTATCAAAGAATCAATAACTCCTCTATTTGGTGGCACATGTTCAAAGCACCTGTGTATAATGCTACTAAATAAATATTAATGGAGACAGTATTTCTATTTGTGGTTAATTTTAGCATGATATGTAAAAGAAGTATGTTTATTTATATACCATATTTCTAGTCTTACACTAATTGCATTAATACATATGCTCAGGGCCCTGATGCTAGAAAAAAACATCCATAACAGAATTAGGCAGCTACAATTTGACACATCCTCTGAACTCTTGATAGAGGAAAAACAAAAACAAAAACAGAATTTTTTTTATTTTTATTTTTATTTTTTTTTTTAATTTTTTTTTTTTCAACATTTATTTATCTTTGGGACAGAGAGAGACAGAGCATGAATGGGGGAGGGGCAGAGAGAGAGGGAGACACAGAATCGGAAACAGGCTCCAGGCTCTGAGCCATCAGCCCAGAGCCCGACGCGGGGCTCGAACTCACAGACCGCGAGATCGTGACCTGGCTGAAGTCGGACGCTTAACCGACTGCGCCACCCAGGCGCCCCCAAAAACAGAATTTTAACATCTGAGCTAGTTTTCACAATCTATAGTGTTTCATTGTTGTTGGAGCACTGAATGAATTCCACAGTGATTATGAAAAAATAATGACCTTCTCCCAAAAAAGACATAAAAATTTTCACTAATTTATGAGCCAGAAAGGAACTAGTTTCTACTCATTGCTAATTGTGAATGACGTTAACAAATTTACTAATATTTCACTTTTTTACATTTTTGAAATAAACCACTCCTGGGCCATAGCTATTATTCTTTCAGTGTATTACTGGATTCTATCTACCAGTTAGCCAATCTTTTAGAATACTGCATCGATATTCAAGAGATACTATAAATTTTGTGTATGTGTGCATGTGTTGTGCAATCTTAATGACATTTATATCACATTTATTGTGTGTCAGGAATTATTCTAAACACTGTAGATACAGTAACATTTACTTTTCACAATGACTATTTGAGATAGCTACTATTGCTGTTCTCTCTCTCTCTCTCTTTTTACAAGAAAACTGAGGTGCAGAGTTGTACTCATTGGGATAGGGTAAACAGTTGTAATAATTGTCATCTTTAAAATACAGAAGAGGATTATTTCTCACATAAGAGTTCAAAGTGTGTGTTGTTAGGTGACTGCTTTACTTGGTGATTCAGGGGCCCAGGATCCTTCCATCTTGGCTCAACCATCACCCAGGGTTTCACTGCCAAATGCATTCTACTAGCAAAAGAGGAAAAGGAGAGTGGAGGAGAATTTTAATTTCCTACGGCTGCTTTAATAAATTACCACATATGGTATCTGTCTTTCTCTGTAGGTTTTCACTCTTATGTGGATCCTGAGAAACTTAGCAGAAGACCATGGGTGAGGGGGAGAAAAAAAAAGAGAGGGAGGGAGCCAAACCATAAGAGACTCTTAAAAACTGAGAACAATCTGAGGGTTGATGGGGGGTGGTAGGCAGGGGAGGGTGGGTGATGGGCATTGAGGAGGGCACCTGTTGGGATGAGCACTGGGTGTTGTATGGAAACCAATTTGACAATAAATTTCATATTAAACTAACTAGCTAACTAAATAAATAAATTACCACAAACTTCGTGGCTTAAATCAATACAAATTTAATCTCTTACAAATCTGGGGGCACAGGTCGGAAATGAATCTCACTGGGCTGAAATCAAGGTGTTGGCAGGCTATATAGTCCTTTTGGAGGCTTTAAGGAAGAGTCTGTTTCTTTTTTTCAACTTTTTTAGTGTTTATTTTTGACAGAGAGAGAGACAGAATGCGAGCAGGGGAGGAGCAGAGAGGGAAGACAGAATCTGAAGCAGGCTCCAGGTTCTGAGCCGTCAGCACAGAGCCCAATGCGGGGCTCAAACCCACCAGCCATGAGAGCCTGATCTGAGCTGAAGTCAGATGCTCAACCAACTGAGCCACCCAGGCGCCCTGGGGAGAATCTCTTTCTTTGCTTTTTTCAACTTCTAGAGGTTACCTACATTCCTTGACTCCTGAATCCCTTCTATCTTTAGCACCAGCAATGGCCATTTGAGTCTTTCTCACAATACATCTCTCTGACACTGATTTTCTGCCTCCTTCTTCTACTGTTAAGGACCCTGTGATTACATTGGGCCTGCCAGTTATCCAACTTATCCAAGATAATCTTATTTAAGGTCAAAGGATTAGCAATTTAATTTCCCCTTACCGTGTAACTTCGCAGGTTCCAGGGATTAGGAGCGTGACGGGACATTATTCTGCCTTGCACAAGGAGAGTACAACTGCTTAAAGTGTTGGCCTTGAAATGGCAAACATCACTTCTAGTCACATCCCATGGTTGGAAAACAGTCTAGCTGAAAGAGGGCTGATAAAATTCTTAAGCAGGAATCCTAGTCTAGTTACAACTATATTCTATGGAAAGGAAAGTTGAATTTTGGTGGACAGTTAAATCTCTGACACAAAGGTTTAGTGACTGACTGAGAGTGTGGCTGGAACTTGTATGCTTAACCACTAGGCACTACTGATATGTATCAAAACCATACTCACTTCATAAAATTAATATCAAAGCTTTTTCTCTTTTTCTTGTTATAGAGAGGTTTCAATAGCACTGCACATTCCTTTTCCTTGAAAACGTAGTGAAATTCTTCTATTGGACCTATCAGGCATTGGGGGATGGTAGCCCTTTAATAATTTTATTCCTTCTATGGTAACTGGTCTGTTTATATTTTCTGTATTTTGGAGGACCAGTTTTGGAAATTTTAATTTTCTTAGAAAATTAAGCATTTCGTCCACATTTCCAAATTTATCTTCATAGAATTGAGACAGATTTGTCCTAATTCTAAATTCCTTGCTCTGTTTATTCTGAAATCTCATTTTAAAAAAAAAAATTTTTTTTAACGTTTATTTATTTTTGAGACAGAGAGAGACAGAGCATGAACAGGGGAGGGGCAGAGAGAGAGGGAGACACAGAATCTGAAACAGGCTCCAGGCTCTGAGCGGTCAGCACAGAGCCTGACGTGGGGCTCGAACTCACAGACCATGAGATCATGACCTGAGCTGAAGTCGGACGCTTAACCGACTGAGCCACCCAGGTGCCCCTGAAATCTCACTTTTATGTATTTGTATTTTTTATTCAGTTAGCTAATGACTTTTTACATTTTATTGTCATTTTCAAAAAAAATCAGATGAATTTAGTGCTTTGTTCCACAATGTTCCTATATCTATTTCATTAATATCTCCTTTCATTCTTTATTTTAGTTTCTTTAGGTTAATTACTATTCTAATGTCTTGAGTTGGATGTTATTAATATAGGTATATTCATTCATTCTCATGTATTAGCATAAGTTTTTAAGATGACAAAACTCAACACCCTTCATGATTAAAATAATGAACAAACCAGGAACAGAAGGAAACTACCTCGACATAAAAAGAGCCATATATTAAAAGCCCACAGCTAACATTGTATTCAATAGGGGAAACACTGAAATATTTTGCTATATGATCAGAAATAAGTCAGGGATGCCCACTCTCACCATACTTCTATTCAATATAGTATTGGCACTTCTAGTCAGAGCAATCAGATAAGAAAAAGAAATAAAAGGCAAAAAAAAAAAAAAAGAATTGGAAAAGAAGAAAATTAAAATGATCTCTGTTTGCACATGACATGCTATTATTTGTAGAAAACTAAAGATTATATGCACGCGCGCACACACACACACACACACACACACCTATTAGAGCTAATAAACAAATTCAGCAAAGTTGATGATACAAAAATCAATTGCATTCCTGTACACCAATAATGACCAATTCAAAAAGAAAATTTAAAAAACCTATTTACTATCCAATTTCAATCCAATTGAAATTGGATTGAAAAACAATATTGCTAAAATGTCCACACTATCCAAAAATATCTACAGATTCAATGCAATTGCTATCAAAATACCAAAGACAATTCTTGCAGAAATAGAAAAAAATATCCTAAAATTCATATGGAATCTCAAGGGAACTTAAATAACCAAAACAATCTTGAAAAAGAAAAAAGTTGGAAGCCTCATATTCCCAGATTTCAAAACATGTTACAAAGCAACGGCAATTAAGATAGGTTCTGAAATAAAGACAGAAATATAGGCCAATGGAACAGAATAGAGAGCTCAGAAATAAACCCTTGCGTTTATGACCAAGTGATTCTCAACACATATGTCAAGACTACACAATTGGGAAAGTACTGTCTTCAACAAAGGTGTTGGGAAAACTGGATTCCACATACAAAAGAATAAAGTTACTTTATACCATATACAAAATTAACTCAAATTTGATTAAAGACATAAATGTAAGACCTAAAACTATTAAACTCTTAGAAAAAAATACAGGGGGAAAACTTAAGAACATTGGATTGGGCAATGATTTCTTGGATATGATACCAAAAACACAAGCAACAAAATAAAAAAAAAAAAAGATAAATAGGACTTCACTAAACTTTAAAACTTTGTGTCAAAAGAAACAATATAGTGAAAAGGCAACCTATGGAGTTAGGGAAAATATTTGCAAATCATATATTTGATAAGTGGTTAATATCTAAAATATACAAGGAACTTCTATAAATCAATAACAGAAGACAACCCAATTTAAAAATGGGCAAAGGACTTGAATAGACATTTCTCTAATGAAGATATGCAAATTGCCAAGAAGCACATGAAAACATGTTCAACATCATTAGTCATTAAGGAAATGCTATCAAATCCATAATGAGATACCACCTCACATCCATCAGGATGGCTACTATTAAAAGAGAAAATAAATGTTGGCAAGGATGTGGAGAAGTTGGACCTTAGACATTGTTGATGGGAATGTAAAATAGTACAGCCATTATGGAAAACGCCAGAAACTACTCAAAA